TTTTTTTTTTTTTATTATTATTATTATACATATAGTGGGATTTTCATGAAGTTGAAAGAAATCTATCTACAGTGGGACTTGATAGTTGAATTTGACATGCTTCTTTCGTTTTCGGGTATGTATGTAATTATTCTTTAAAATATTTGTATATGTGATGAAATACATATGGTGCATGACTGATTTGCCCTGATGTATGTGTATTGTCATTGTATGTGTATTGTTCGGTAATGTTCCCTTACTCACGGTGTGAGTAAGGTGCATGTTAATATGCCCACTGCTTATGTGGCATGCACACATTGGTGATGTATTTTTTTGAATATATTAACATCACCAATGTGTGCATGTCACATAAGCGGTGAACATATTAACATGTGCCTACCGTGTAGGGGAGCATTTCCTGAAAAATTTACCTATGTTTGAGTTATAATGAAACCATACTAAGAGAATAATACATTCTAACTCTTTCTCTTTTCCTCTATGTTTATAACATGAACTCGATTTGTAGATCATGTTATACGGTTGCATATTAAAGATGATTATCTATATCAGAAATTTAACTATCTAAGTGTTACAAATTGTTATTTTTTTGAAACATTTTTCAAGCATTGAACTCAATTTTTCTTTTACCATGGCCATTTAGAACAACCTTTCAACTAAAAAAAAGAAAAAGGAAAAAGGAAAAAACGTAACTCACAATTTGGCCATTTTCGTCTTACACATACCCACACCAATATTCATTATGGTTATGTTTGGTAAAACAAGCTGATAGCTGATAAGTTAGCTTATAATTTATCAGTAATATTCGAACTTATAACTTATAGTTTATGACTTATAGCTGAAAAACTAGCTTATATGATAAAAGTTTTTGGTAAAATTAGCTAATAAGCTAGCTGGAATAAAAAAATCAACTAGCTTATTTAGAAAGCTACCTAAAAAAGTTAATCAAATAAGCTCGAGCTTTTTAAATAAATTTGTCCTACCAAACAGAGCTTATTTAAATATAGGGAACTTATAAGCTAATCAAATAAGCTATAAGCTAGCTTATTGGTCTACCAAACATAGCCTATGTATATATGTTTCAACCTTAAGACAAAAATCTGTTCAACATTTGATTTATTTATGTCATGGAAAATTTAATTATTTAGTTGATGCTTATTAATAGTTTGTGTGTGGTATATAAATAAAATTAATTTTTTTACGTCACGGGAGCTGACAACATAAACTATAATAACCTACAAATAAACTGAACATAAACTATGATATGTATACTTGTAGTTTATGCATACAACTTGTACTACTGCCAATGTCATTGTCATTTTCGCCATGACCACAACTCCTCTACTGCAAAGTAGATCGATTCTCAATTATCCTCTTCTTGAACAAATCTCGATTTTGTTGTAAATTGGAACTCTTCTATATTCACCAAGCGTCCATCAATCAACCAAACATAAAGATATGCAGTAAAGAGAACAGGAAAAGAGGAGCAGAAAAGTCTCTATCTTTATTCATCGATATTCACTCTTTTTATAGAGTTTACAAGGGAGAAACCCTAAAACCTAATCCTACTAACTAATGGACTTCAGGCCCAATTATCTATTAGTAAGGTCCATATTAATATATTTATAACAGACTTCTCATAATTTGAGAGATGTCCTGTTACTTTTTGAATTTTAATAACAAAATTAGTCAAATATATTTTCTAAAGGGTAGTATTTTACTTGACAGTTACTTATTTAATGGGGTAGTTACATATATTATTGATTTAATTGGGGAGAGGAAATCCTCTTACTTTAGTATTTGTGGCAAAAACAAACTTTGGAAACAATAAAATTGCCATCAAAACAAATTTCTATCAAAACGTAGATTTTTTAAACATTATCAATGTAGTTGTGTACTTTAGCCATTATAGAATGTTTACATGTCAGGTCAGGCCAACTTCAATATCCAAACTTGCTCCGTTAATGAAACAAGACCAGCCGACCTGGCCTGTTATAAAAGAAGGTGGCCTAGGTTCGCCCCAAAGCCTCAGGGTGGGGCGAGCCACGACATGTCCATGGTAAATTGTCATCCCTAGTGAGAAATGTTAAATATAAATAATAATGCATGTTTATTAGAAGGTATTTGAAATTTAAATAAAAAACTTTTTTCTCTCTTTTTTTTTTTTTTTTT